TTTGATTGTAAAATGTATCTCATTTGGTCATCTTGGAGTTTAAACTTAGTACCATTCCCTAAATTCATCACTTGCTGCAGCTGCTCAGCACTTGGCACCTGTAGATTTACCCCTTAGAGGCTCCAGACTGAACCAGAATGTTTTATAGGCATCAAGGCTAATGGCTAAACTTTTTCAAGATTTGTTTTTCAAATAAATGTACTTTTTTCCACATTATAGTTTCAGTGAGCCAGAGAAACAGAATGGTTAAAGGTTCCTCATCATGAGAAACCTACCCTAAAGCTTTTTAACTTAGAGATCTAAAGAGAAACAGATTGAACTCCTTTTACACAGAAAATTTAAAAAACAAACACTTTAAGTGTCTCATTTCTGCTTTAAATTCTGGGGCTGTTTTAAGCTCAGGTTTCAATTGATGCTAATGAATAACAAATAGAGGAGGCTGTTTATTTGTTTTGCTATTTTGTGCCCTCATAATGCATGCTGCATTTTGAAGTGGAAATTGTTTAGCATTTTTACTCCTGCAGGTTTTCCCTGTCAAGTTGCTATCTTTTGAATGTATTGAGCATGTGAACTTGCTGATCTGGGAACCATAATGTCCCCTCATGAGCTCTGTTTACATTTAAGGCAAATGGAAGAGGGCAATTGGGTTTAAAAAAAGCCAACTAAAATTCATTGGTAGAGCCAGATTTGAAACCAACTCTGCCAGACTTTAAGGCATCTGAATCTGGGTTCAATATTTGTACATAGTACCTGTCTTTAAAATGGGTTGTACCAAAACCCTCAGATGAGCAGATGTTAAAAATCCAGATCTTGAACACATACTATGTGGATATGAACATCTCTTATAGAGGCTGGATTCTAAAACTGCTTTTTTTTCTGTCAACTTGTTCTTGCTAGGGCACTCAGGGAGGGAAGAGAGAGAAACGAAAAGTAAGGGACATGCTTGTAGTCCACAAACATGAGCGAGGGAACCTAAGATCAAGAAGTTCAACCTGAATACCTAAAAATAGATTACAGGGGACCTGTATCTTAGAAATATGATCAATTTACTTACAGTGGGACCTTCAAAAGCGCTAAAAGTGATCTAGAAGTGTAGTGATCTCAGTGCAAATTGATAGGGCCTCGTAGGAAACTATAGACACCAAATAGCTTAGAGAAATCCCCCGCCCCACCCCCCAAAAGTAATCCTGTAGATTCTGTATACTGTAATCAGAAGGTCTTCACTTGCTGCTAAACAGATGTGTTGTGTGTAGTACTCAGAAGCCACTTCTACACATGCAGCAGTGTGCACTGGTAGCGACACAAATAGTAGCAGCACAAATTTGTGCCAGTAATTTGTGCCTCAGCATGTGAGCCTGAAAGTCCATTTTGTCACAAAACAAACTGTACCACTCTGGGCAAACTGCCCTTGCCCAGCTCCTCCTGCAGGGCTGGTTGCTGCAGGCTCCACTCCTCCCCTGGTGGCAAAGGAGTAGCAGGGGGCAGTATGTGGCTATAGGGCCCCTGATTACTGGTTGGCATCACACAAAGCATGAAATTGAAAGTGCAATGCCTTGGCCATACTGCTTCCCTGCTGCCATCTTTTGGCATGCCCCCACTCAGTCATCTGTGCAGCAATCTCCTGGTAAATATGTTTGTTCCAGTGAGAACTTGCTTTAGGCCATAAACCTCACGTGCCTGCATGTGGGATGTGGCCAGAGATTGTATATACATAAATAAAAGATGTAATCATATTTGCACATGTGTTTGCATGCACATAGATTGAAATTGCATTAGCATGTTCCATTTTTTTCTATATTGGTTCCCAAACCCTTTACAATCCTCTCTTCTGAAGCAATGATTCTGCCTCCTTGTGTTTTGTGTTAAAACATTTTGGCCGCATCTGCATGAGACACTTAGTGCACAGTAGCTTGTTACTACTGGGTGGTACCATCCTGGGGCATGAACTGTGACACAACACTACTGCGGAGTAGTAACAAGCTACCGTGCAGTCAAAATCACCAGGAAGCCATGTGGGGACACTACTGAACAGTAGTGCTGGTTACTACACAGTCATTTAGCATTTGAGTATGCAAGTATTAAATGACTGCACAGTAACCACTGCACAGTCAGCGTCTCATGTAGACATGGCCTTTGACTACCAGAGACTAATAATAACAAAAAAATATGTTAAAGTTATTTTTTCCTGTTTTCCCCAATTGCTCTTATTCTCACTATAAAGGAATCTTAACAAAGAAGCAGAAGATTTATGTTATGGTTCATACCATCCATCTTCAGCAGTAAATGTCTTTCAAAACTAGTTATGTTTCCAGCCTGCAAAAGGAATTAAAAAACCACAATATAAAGTAACAAATTCATTTGGCAGGATCATCCTTAACAGTTTCCATTTTCAGTAAGGCATTCAAATCCAGTCTAAAATCCTGCTCACGTATATAACCCAGATGTATAGACACAAAAAATGCAAGACCACTCATACACCATGTGATAAGATAGACCATCCAGTGAGATACATGATTATATATGAATAGCCTATCCAATGTCCTTTTCTGTTTATAACTGAAACCCTCTTTGTTTCTGATAATTTACTGGTTATTTTTAAATATTTGTCAAATACTTTGGACAAATGATTTTTGGGCTATGGCTTGTTCACAAATTGTTTGCTCTTAGAGATCATCCTTTCTGATTTGCAGCATGTTCAGATAAGTCACAACATTGTTTCTGCATCCTAATGAGATATTGGAAGCAAAAGTAACAAACAGCAGAACTTGGGGTTTGCCCCTAAATTCACATGATCACTAGTGAGTGCTAGTGTCCATGTGAAAAGCCACCATTTTCCACACCAACAAAATCCTAGAACAAACATTGTCAAACTAAACAAATATCAAGAACACCAAGCATATACAGGAAAGGTGAATTGTTAGTATTCAGCCACTTTTAAATTTTGTCCAACTTTACAAAGGGTATATTTTCACCCAGTAGTTTGGAATTGGTATGCATCATGTCACCTATCATTTGAGGAATTACTATATTTACTCTTAATATAAGGCAAGGTTTTTACTGCAGTCAACATGGGGTGGGAAGCAACTCATCTTCCATACACATACAAGAAAAATGCATGAAATACATTGCCTATCTTTTGAACTGCTGATAAAAGCAGCATGTGTTCAGTAATGAAAACCAACTATGGAGTTGATTAAATATAAGCAACACTTAGCATGACTATAAAGTACACAGCCCATATAGGGCAAACATGCTGATGGGAACCTACCACAAGGATAGATTAATGCAACCTAGCTGAGCAAGATATATGGTACTGCTCAGTGAGCGAAGTGCTGACTCTTTTTCAAGTCATAGTGAGCCACTACATTGTATACATTTTTACTTCCTTTTCACTCTCACAGCTGAGCTGTGCCTTTATATCCCATGATTCCTATTTCTTCTCCAGCCTTACATGTCTAGCAAACATCCCCAAATGGGGCTGCAAACAGTATACCCAGAATGTCTGTCAGCCCCTCTTTCATCCTGTTGCATGTTTAGTGTGGCTCCCACCCTGCATGAGATGAAGCTGGAACAGCTTGACCTATGCCTCATCTGCAGATAAATTTTTGGAGGATTGCCGTAATACCCTCTCACAAGAAGTGCAGCTCAGCTAGCCACCAGCTGTAGGTTCCTCAGTCAGCTCTCCCTACAAGTTCCTGATTCACGTATCAGTCCCGCAATGAACACTCACCGGGTGGGCAATTGCAAACCCGCCCTGCTTATCCATTCACAGCAGCAAAGTCCTTATCATAGATCTGGACAGATCTGCAATCATCCAGCTGAATCAGCAATTTGTCTTCCAATGGGCCAGATGCCCAACACTTGCCGCTTCAACAAGAAATTCTTGGCATATCTCTCTCTCATTGCCTGTGCCTCCACCCAGGCTGCTTGACGTCTCTGGCATCTAAAGCCTCGGGCCCTCTTCCCCTTCCAGGGAATAGCTGATCACACCGACAGTCCTTTATACAATGTTTCCACCCGGCTGTTGTCAATCTCCAGTTGTCCACTGCCAGCCAGGAAGACTTAATTGGCAATTACGCCTTTTGTTATCTCAATCTGCTTGAGCACCTCATCGCTGTCAGCAAGTAATGGACACTTCACTAAAGTCCATAGTGGGTATTTAGCATCCTGGATGGGCGAATAGTCAATGTGTCATCCAGTTCCATGGGTCAGACAGAAGGTTCTCAACAAATTGGGTGCTTTTCCCAAATCTTCCCATAACAGGGGTAGTGTCTCCCTGTTACAGTAAGTAGGTGCCAACATGCTGCTTAAAAGTGTATTTATAAAGTACCTGTGCTAAAACTTGCAGCAATTTCAAAAAAGTTAAAATGCATACTTTCTGGATGAAGTAAGTCTATGGGTACTATATGCAAATTGTTACAACTATATTTATTTCAAGGTCAGTTTTTCCAAATTTGTTCCTCACTTCCATGTTCTCAGGGAGAGCAGGGGCGAGAAGGTTGAGGGAAAAGAGGGAGGAGGTAGTCTTAGCATATTTCCAGTTCCAAAAAAGAAAACATCTGTTGTGGGGTGGGGTATATGATTGTGGATAGCAGCAGATCAAGTCTGGCCCCGGTGCAGGCTGGAGGGAGGAGAAGGGGAGGCCTGTGGCACTCCCTGCCTTGAGCTGGGGCTCCCACACCATGTCAGGTGGCTTGGGCATGGCCCTGCCCTCCCCACCCCAGGCAGCAACTCCTAGGCACCCTCCTCCCCATAAACTTACCTGCATCCAGCTAGTTGGGCTGCTACCACCACTCTGCATAGTTGTGTGCCAGCCACGTGTGTGTGCATGTGCAGATACATGTGGCACCCCCTACCTCCAATCACCCCAAGCAGCTCCTTGCAGGCTGGAGGGATGCCAGCCTACTAAGGGAAACCTGCAGTTTCCTTCTTTAAAGAGGAAAATCCACGTTTTCCTGAAACAAACAGAAAACCTGGGTAAACCTGCATGCCATTAGGGCAAGCCGGGAAATGCAGTTTTACCCGCAAAATCCCAGACATTTGTTCATGTGTCAACAAACTGCCCGGACAGAGATCAGAGGATCCAAAAAGAAGACATGTCCAGGAAAACTTGGATGTATGGTAACCCTAGGGAGGGTGGTAGAGGGCAAAGGAGCTACCTGACCCCCTGGATTTATTTTTTGTGATGTAGGAGCGATAGGTTGACAGACCTCCAATAATTCAAGACAGATCTCTAATAATTAGCTTCTATACCTGAACAATTATATCAAAATTATAGATGTTCCATATATACAATCTAATTATTGCAGGGGTCATCTTATAATCAGGGTTGTCTTATATTCAAATATAGTATTATCTGTTGTGTGATAAGTAGGGCTGGACTCGAGAAAACCTTTGATAATTTGATTATTAATTTATTTAAAGGATTGATTTTTTTTTTTTAGATTTGAGTAACTGTGGGGTTGCTGAAATAAATTATAAGACTTCATCTTAAAGAAACCTCTCCTATGTCATGCTATTCATAGCCTTTCCCTTTTTTTAGTTCCCCTAGCAATCTCTTTTTTCACCTGTAGATATCCTTCACTCCAGAAAAGAGTGGTTATAAAACACGGAGGTATTAACTATTCATCTCTTTGGCTCCTTCCATAAGTTTGGGCCAGAACTACAAACAGTGTTGCTTTTTTTTAATTGCTGTTTGTTGATTGTTAGATGACTTCATTATAGAATATGATGAATCACTGTAACTGGAGAGAGTTTGGGAGAGAGGAAACCATTATTAAGCAATATATTATCAAATGTCCTGTAAGGATTTCCAAGATCTCTGAAGAGAATATCCCAAATGAACAGTGCTTGCTCTGCAAACAGTTGTAACACCTGTTCCTTTTTCTATTTTGTAGCCATACTGTAAGCCATTGTTACAATTCCCTGCAGAAAATATTTAAGTCACTGGTTTCAAAGTAGTTGAAAATCTGCGCTCTCAGATTTCTTTTAGGAGAAAAATGAAATGATTTAAGATTTAAAAAAAATGACAAACAGCCTATCCAAACTGTGTCCAGTGACCTAGGCATTCCTTTCTTCAGTGTCAATATTTTTAGTTGCTTCTCTACCAGCTTTCTAGAAATCATACCATCTTCCCGAAGGAATACTTGAAGACTCTTACCACAAACTACACACATTTTCCTCTATCTACACAGTTTTTGGTGCTCCTGCAATCTAAAGTAATAGCAATGCTCTTGATATGTGAGATAGAGGTATGTACATGTAGGGTTAGGTAACAAGTTTTGCTGGCTCCATAAGCAAATTAATTTTAAAATGTTCCATAACAAGTGTATGAAGTCATCATTAGCCCCTTCCCCCCCCCCAACTCAGCAGTGACTATTACTGGTTTCTTGATTGCCTTCCCAGGAGATCTGTAGCTCACATTACATGGAACAAGTCTCATCTTTCAGAGGTACAGTATGTTTATAGATACTATAATGGACAACCTCTCATTCAGCCTTCAACCCAGTTCCAAGCTTAGATGGAGACCCTGATGGAAGGATTTTTCCAGGGCTGGGCTGGGCAAATTGATGATTGCTTCAAAAAGGTAATAAATTTCTGCAAAGTAAGGAAAAGTGTGGTGCTGGACATGAGGTTGAGTCCACCGAGCTTAAGAGAAGAGCAAGGTGATTAAGAAAAAGATGGATTTTAGGGTGTAGCTACATGTTACAATTAGCATATGTTAGGGGGTCTTAAAGTTATCATGGGTGATAAGGGTTAATACTCTCTCCAGCATGCACAGTTCAGACTTGCCACCAGAGCAGTGATTCTCAACCAAAGTGCTGAGGTACCATGAGATTCTTCCAAAGGTACTGTGGGGTGCCACGCAATGTTAGCACTGGTAGGCGTGCAACCATGATTCACAAGATAAACCCAGACATTTCAAATAGAAATCAGGATGTCAAAATCATTATGATCTGTTGCGGTCTTTCTGAATTCTTTGCAACATCAGAATTGCTCCATTACTTTTCTATAGTCAAAAAAGAAATGAAAACTAAGAACTAACATTTTCTGAGCGGTGCCTTGAGTCTCACAAGGGGTACCTTGAGTCTAAAAGGGTTGAGAACCACTGTGTTAGATGGCTGGGAGGTAGAGGTGTGGCTAGGAGCCTACCAAGTCTGCTCCATGCCTGCGTGGCTCTCCAGCTCTCTAGCGCCAGTATAGACTCCAGGATAGGGCCCTTGCTGGCCAAGATCAGGCCCCTGCCAGCTTTGATCAACCTCACACTGCCACCACATGCACAGATTGAACCCATCACCCCTGCCAGACCCCACAGCTATCTGGCAGCTCCCCATCCACCTTCCTGCACACCTTCCCCTCATCCCTCCTCCTCTTTTCCCCCTCCTTCCTCTGCTTTCCATCACCCTACCTCCATTCACCCTCTCCCCACTTACAGCTGCCCCGCTGTCCCCAGCTGTCAGTCCAGGGCACTAGAGTCCTAAATGATAGCTAGTTCATGGGGAAGGGGGATGCTGGGAGCAGTGTCTCCTGTGATACTGGAGGACCTCAAATTGCTGGGTTCAGCTTTGTGGAGACGAACGTAATAGCTAATACAAAGGTATTAGCCTTTGTGGCATTTGAAAGATAAACCATGACTTGCAATAAAAGATATTTCTCATAAGAGAAGGTCTGACAACTCATAAGATGTTGTGTTAATGCCAGGATACAAACTTCACCTGAAGTGTAAACAAGAACTGCCGTGTAATTGGACAATATTAATGTATAATCTGATTTTGTCCATTTAATACCAAGTCAGCAACCCTAATTCATCCACACAACCAGCTTGGCTCTCACAATATACTTCCCTGAGAATGACTCTAGATATCAGAGGGAAATCCAATCTCCAAGGCCTATTCACTGATGTGTCTCTTTGCTCAAACTGTTAATGATGGTGGTATTTGGGTGACTAGAACACCTGCCCATTAGGAACTGGACTGAATCCACCAAACTAATTTCAGAGAGACTACCAAAAAGGCATGAGATGATAGGCTGCTGCTTGCAGTTTGGATATGAACCAAAAACCTAGCTGAAAGGTTCTATAACAAATTAACTGTTCCCTTGAGATATCCTGTCCTTTTGAGCAGTTGATTTTGTGGCTGCATGCTATTAGGATCTATAATATAACAGTTCCATGCGTAAATCAAAGGCATGTGAAGTTAGTGGTACAACAACAGTGCTTTCACTTGGGATTATGTCATTTTGATAGGACTATGGTGGAAAGCCAGATGACACAGTGGATTAATGTACTAATTGCTGGTGCATTGGGCACATCTACACATGCAATTAATGCAAAGCAATAACATCCAGCACTTATTGCTCCAGAGTTTATTGCTCCTGGGTGTGCTGTTTGAACATGCGCCTGGGACCCTAGCACATTGAGAAGGGGCAGCTCTGGTTGGCAGGGGGCCCCAGGGATCAGTTTGCAAGCCCACAGCTGCTCCTCCCTAGTTCAACGTGCTATGGAGGGGCTGGCTGGTGCATAAGTGTGCTGCAGTGTTGGGTTAGCCAGGGGCAGCATCTACATGTGCATTGCTGCAGAGTAAAAAAATCTGCAACAGGATAATTAGTTGATTAGTTTACTCCAGTCTAATAGGGGCTCAGGTGTAGATGCACAATATTTACTGGGGAGCTAATTAGTCTACTCCACAGTCAATGTCTTCTGTAGATGCACCCATTGAGCTCGACCACACATGCAGGCACATGTGCTTGAAGCAGCTCAAATAGCAGAAGCACAAATTTGTGCCGGAGATTTGTGCCTCAGCACACATGCCTGAACATGCATTTTGGTATGGGGCAAATTGTGCCACTTGGGGCAAACTGACCATGCCCACCTCATCCTAGATCTGCAGCCAGGGGGAGCTAGAAGATGGGGCATAGGTGGGTGGTGTAGGTTTGTGGGCAGGGTATGGGGCTTGTGCAGGGGCTTGAGGGGGGTTTATGAAGGTGGTTTGGGGGTGGGGTTTTGGGGGTGTAGGGGGGTTGTGGGGGGG